TCTTGGCCAAGCATATGAAGTGTATTGTTGTTTGGTTGGTGACTGGGTTTAAAAAGGTATACAACCTGTTCGTTTGGCTGTGGCTTGTCGTAAACGATCGTAAATTTCCAGCCGGAACAGTATTTTTCTCTCACACAAACCAGCCAGCAGTACTTCTTCACGAACCAGCAACGAAACGAACCAACCATCCGAACAGGCTGATAGAAAGTAAAGCTCCAAACATAAACGTACGCCTAACACATAATATGTTTTGTGCCTTGTGGTTAGTTGCAACCAAATAGGTAATTACAAAGAGAATCTTTCCAGGCAACATCATTCTACGTCCAGGCAATCATGTTTTAATGCTTGTACCTAGCAATAGTTGCTTGGGCTAGGAGACAAACTAGGGTTGCAACCAAATGCATCACAGGCAAGTCTCAGGTCCATTCGAGGCACAGGCAATTTCTTCCAAGGCTTAAACCAGACAAGCCCCTCATGCATGTAATGTACAATGGTGGCAGACTTTGACTAATGGCTAAGCTAGTTGGAGTCGATGGGGCTATATATAGGGCCTATTTGGGACAGCTCTAATGCTCCAGATTCACCAAAAAGAGCTCTAGATTTGATTTTTTTTAGCCCAACACCTCAGCTCCACCAACTCTAAATCTCCCAAAACTCCACATCCGAGGAGCAAATCCATGGATTTCCTAGAGCACCTCAAGAGGTGTTCTGAAAACTCATAGATATGTGGAGTTAGCCAAAATTATCCACCATGCCACTGATTAGCGAAAAATAACAGTTTGTTCTATTTCTTTCTCCCCTTTCTTCCTTGTCGTGACTCCTACGCATACTCTCGCCTAGCCACGCCGCTCCAGCAGCCGAGCTCGCCTCCATGCGCAATGGCCTTGACCACGCTCGCAGCGCATAGCCACTAACTTGCTTGGACACGCACGCCCTTCCCTTGCATCTCATGTTGTTGCCGCGCTACCCTTGGTGGTCCGCCACACGGCCCCCTAGCCAGCCACGAGGGCTACCACATGGCCCGGCCGCCATGCTATTCCCCTGGCCCGCTCCGCCTGCGCTCGACCGCACCAGCCCACTCTGGCCACGCTCCCCCTGACCTAGACATGCTGGCCCTGGCCGAGGTTGCATCTGTCGCTACGAGTCCTGATGCTCTGGTTCTACTACTATGAAGAGAAGACAAAGTCTGATGTGTGGTCTCAAGGCGTCTATGAGACAAAGGGGGAGGAGGAGCTCCCATAGATGGGCTGCTGTTGGGCTGTAATTGGCTGGTATTTGGGCCGGCCCACCAGATCCACCATGGTGCTCTCCCAAACACGTTTCTTAGCAGTTGTAGGATTTTAGATCCAAGTTGGAGCTGCTCCATGATGGATCTGAGATCTTGGTTCCATTTTTCCTAATTGGAGCTTTACCAAATAGGGCCTCAATTATATACGAGTCCCATTGCCCACCTAATGTTGTTGGAGTATCTTGAGGCTGCTAAAAGCTAGTGCAAGTTTCTCTTCAGTCTACACTCCATCCATCCTCTGAAAGCTCTAGTTTAGTTTTGGTGAATTGATGAAACCCTAAGTGCTAACCTAGTTTATCAAAGTGATCATGAGATAGGTAGTACTATTCCAAGTGGTGGAGCAATGGTGAAGATCATGATGATGGTGTGATGGTCATGGTGATCAAGTGCTCGGCTTGGAAAAGAAAAAAGAGAAATAAAAAGCTCAAGGCAAAGGTGAAACTTCATAAGAGCTTTTTGGTTTAGTGATCAACACACTTAGCGAATGTGATCACATTTAGGATCGATAGTCGTACTATTAAGAGGGGTGAAACTCGTATCAAAATGCGGTTATCAAAGTGCCACTAGATGCTCTAACTCATTGCATATGCATTTAGATTCTAGTGAGTGCTAACACCCTTGAAAATGTTTGTGAAAATATGCTAACACACGTGCACAAAGTGATACACTTGGTGATTGGCACATTTGAGCAAGGGTGGAGAAGTTGGTGAAGCGGAGGAGATGGTTTTCACTGAAAAACAATGACCAGACGTAGGTGATGTGGTGACCGAACTCGGGGTCTCAGCGTTTGGTCATTTATAAAATTCAGTGGCGCGCTCGGGCTCTGTTGGCCTTGTGACCGGACGTAGGTGCATGTTGTGACCTGATGCGCTAATGGTGAGTCCGGTCATGCTAACGTATGGTGGCATAAGCGACTGAGCGAACGCAGTAAGGACCTAATGCGGTGGTGCGTCCGGTCGAGGAGCACCTGACGCGTCCGATCACAAAAAAGTGCCTCTGGAACCTCTCTGTAAATGACCTAACACGCGGTGGCTGTTGTTAATCGGCGTGTGCGGTCACAGTGTGGTAGCGTGTGCGGTTCTATTGACCTGACGTGGCGCGAGAGAGTTAGGTGGACCATTGGCGCGTCCGATCACAACTTAAGTGATCGCACAGGAGATTCGACCGTTGGAGATCGACGCACGTGGTTAAACCACAGGGACACTTGGCAGCGCACCAGCGACCATATGCTAAAGGTGGTGCATCCGGTCACTTTGACCGGCATGTCCGGTAGCCCTGAGAAAGTTGCAGTGAGGAGCCCAATGACTCTATTCGTGGGGGCTCTCTATTTAAGCCCCATAGCCTCCTCAAGCTCACTCTCTTGGCCATTTGCATTGACATAGCAACCTTGTGAGCTTAACCAAAGCCCTCCCACTCATCTCCATCATTGATTCATCATCTTTGTGAGATTGGGAGCGAATCCAAGTGCATTGCTTGAGTGTTTGCATCTAGAGGTACTTGGTGATTGTGTTTCGCTACGTGTTTCGCTTGTTATTCTTGGTGGTTGCCGCCACCTAGACAGCTTGGTGCAGCGAGGATCATTGAGCGGAGGAAGGTGCTTGTCTCTGGCTCCGATCATGGTGATTGTGAGGGGTTCTTGATCTTTTCCCGGCGGAGAGCCAAAAGGTACTCTAGTGGATTGCTCGTTGCTTGTGTGATCCTCATCTTGTGTTGGTTGTGCGGCACCCTATTGAGGGTTTGGCGTGTGATGCAATTAATGCGTGAACCTCCAAGTGAGTGAATCGGCACAACGAAGACTAGCTTTCCGGCAAACAAGTGAACCTCGGTGAAAAATCTAGTGTCATCTTGTCGTGGGGATTTGATTGTGATCGATTGGCTCCATCATATTGTGATTGGTTCTATCCTCGATATGGCGGTATAATTATCACATCCCCTCTCTTGCATTTATATTTATAGTGTTGCTTCACTCTTTAGTGTAGTTAGTCTTGAGAGCAAGCTTATGTCGGATCTAGTGGTTAGTGAGGCTCTTTAGTTAGTCTTTGAGAGCTCACTAATTTAGTGTAGTGACATAGCGTTTGTGTGCTTATAGATCATAGTCACTAGAATTGTGGTAGGTGGCTTGCATTTTTAGTAGACTAGCGCAACACTCGTATTGTCATTTAATTGTCTAACATCTTGGCTAAGTGTTGTTGTAGAAATTTTTAATAGGCTATTCACCCCCCTCTATCCATTAGGACCTTTCAAGTGGTATTGGAGCCATGGTCACCGTGATTTGTGGCTTAACAACCTTCGGTGTCAATATGGCTCAAATCAACAACACCAAGAAGCCACCCAAATTTGATGGCTTCAATTATCCTTATTGGAAGGCTAATATGACAACATACATCAAGTCAATCAATAAAAAGGTGTGGAAGGTGGTGGAGACCAAGATTAAGATTGCCAATGAGGAGGCTCCCACCGCCAACAAAAAAGTGCTACTCCAAAACAATAACATTGCTCTTAGTGCCACTCATGATGCTTTGGATGAGAGAACATTTGAGCAAATTAAGAATATTGAGAGGGCTCATGAGGCATGGAAAAAGTTAGAGGAATCATTTGAGGGCACTCAAGCCATAAAGGGTGTAAAGGCATATATTCTTAAGGAGAAGTTTGCAAGCTTCAAAAAGAAGGAAGATGAGTGTGCCGGAGATGTTTCATAGGCTTCAAGTGCTTGTCAATGATCTCAAAGCACTTGGAGAAGAGGTGAAGGACAAGGATTTCTCCCACAAGCTCTTCAGATGCTTACCTTCGAGATTTGGCACATTGGTCACTATTCTAGCCATTATGGCCTTTCATCCTCTCAAGAGCATCAATTTCATCCTCTCAAGAGCATATTTAAGGATGAAACTGGATCAAATGCGAGTGAATATTCTGAATGCTAAATACGGACTCATATTTTTTTATTTAGTCGAATACGGATAATATCATATGCGTCCGATATTGATATCTCTGCCACTATCCTCAGAATTACAAACCGGCCTTTTTTTAGCAACATTACAAACCGGCTTATAAAGCCACCGGATCACTCACTCCACTTACACGGCCCACGACGACCTTAACCGAAGGTCTTAGCCCAACCAGCCCGCTATACTCAGCCACTAGTGCTAATGTTCCTGTGTTGTGTAACGTACTAACGTGTGCTTGTATTGCTTTCACAGGGACCGGACAGGGCATATTCTAACAGTTAGGATGTTTTGGTATACCTAACCTACGTCACTGGTGTCTCACGTCATGAGAGTTGCGCAAATATGGATCCAAGAGAGTGACCGATCAAGGAGGACCCATATTTGGAAGAAGAAGAAGAGAAAAAAAGTACAAAAGATAGAGTAGGCTACTTCCGTCTCCTGTCTCCGCCGGATCTTTCGCTGACTCTGACACAGTTGTGGAGACCAACTGTTATTTAGCTACCGCCACTTTGTCTCGTAATCCTAATTCCTATCCTAATCTTGCACGGGAGTATTGTCGGTCAATACATACTCCTTCCCCTTCCTGTACGTCATGCCCACTTGATTTGCTTGGTGTTTCCTGTGAAATCTCCGCATACATATAGCAACAATTCTCCAGTCTTCAGTCTTCAGATCATCCATGCAATCAGCCACTTCTCGAATATATATTACTACTAGTATACATTCTTACAATAGCTAGCTAGTTCAGTCCACCAAGCTCCAAACTCATGGCGGAGATCGTGAGGTCTGCAGTTGCCGAGGAGATAGCGAAGCAAATCGTCTCCGGCATCCTGGACAAGCTGGGACGGAAACCGAATGAGGAGGAGGAGCACCTGGAGCGGCTGGAGATGGCACAAATCAAGCTGGAGGCCGCGCTGGAGACCTCCGACAAGTGGCGGATCAGCGACGCGTCTCTCCTCCGCTGGCGCAAGAAGCTGAAGCGCGCCGCTCAGGAGTGCGACGACACGCTGCGCCGGTGCAAGCAGCGCGCCGTGGCCGTGGACGACCAAGAGAAGCATCAGCGGGTGGCCGTGAGGCACTCGTGCTCGTCCTTGCCGACACGGCTCGCCCACGCCACCAAATCCTTCGTCTCCTCCATCCTCAGCGGACGCAACAGGACCGACGACGACGACGGGTACGGCTGGAGCGGCGGCAACGCCGTACGGAGATTCGAGTGGTTCGCGGACGGCGCCGCCGAGTTCCTGCGGTTCGTGGAGCTTGGCGGCACGCCGTGGCCGCGGTACACGTTCTTCGACCCTCTCATCGCGCGCCTGCTCGCTGGCTACGAGGCGAGGTACAGGCTCGTCCGCGGAAGCCAGTACTACCTGTTCTGCGTGCGTCCCATCGTCCTGGAAGGCCGTGGCACGGAGGCGAAGCTCATCTTCTTCTACGAAGACGACGACGTGCCGGAGAAGAACCTGTGCATCGGCTCCATGCTGCGGCTTTCGGAGAGCACGGACGTTGTCGGGATCACGATCAAGTGCCTGCAGCTGCTGGTGACGCCGCATTTCAAGTCCACGGCTGAAGCCGCGACCAGGGAGCTCGCTAACCTTCCGACGCAGGACTTCTCCTGGGTGCCCTACGGTGGCTCCACTCACAGAGAGCACTGGGACAGCATCCACAGAGACATGAGCCAGTGGTTCCGGCCGGACCCGCTGTGCTGCAACCACCATGAGCCCTGTCGTCCCTGTGAGAGCAATGCAGCAAGCACAGTGAGGCCATCGCATTCACAGGTGTCTCTGGAATCAGTCATCGAGGTGTACTGGCAGTGCCAGGTCCCACTGTCCGAGTACAACATGCTGCAGAGGAATGCAGTTGTTGAAGGTCCAACGACTTCTTCAGAAGACATGCCATACCTGAAACTTGGTCTCCTGTTCACACCCCATGGCTCTTTAGGAGACTTGACGCCGAAAGCCGAGTCGTCGGCGCTGGAGGTGATCGACGGGGAGGAGCAGCGTGGTACGCACACCAACCTTAGCCTGCGGCAGCTGGACGAGACCATGCTGCCGAAGGCGCTGCAATGTCTCTACCAGAAGACAGAGGCGATGGCGTACCAGATGCTCTGGAAATCCAAGCATGGCGCGGCGTACCTTCAGGTGAGGAAGACGACGCCACGGAGGAATTGGAAGGGAGATAACAAGAACAGAAGGTTGCTAATGCAGCGATATCATCAAGACCCAAAGCTGGAGAGATGGACACATGTTCTCACAAACTTTCTCAATTTGTGGGTTGCGCGCGTACCTGATGATAGGCTGCGCAGTTCAATGACCCAATGGTTGCAGAGGGCAAATGAGAAGCAATTGGCAGTTCTGCGTTGTTAAGTCCTGAACAAGTTTGCTGCACTGGGAAGTTCTGGTCTCAGAAAACAAGAAAGCATGAATGGCTTTGCTTGCTTTTCTTATTTTTTATTTCTTTTGTGTTATTGTTCTCTCTGTTTTCTAATCAGCATGTTGTAATTGTAATAAGCTCTAGCAGTCTAGCTCTCATGCACTTCTATGTTCTGCAAAACTTTTTCCCCTTTGGAATAGCTTTTTCTTTATGTGAATTCCATCAGCAATTTCTGAACTTGTTCGGCGTCCTCATATAGGTCCAGAGACTTTCAAATTGCATTTTACCTAGTCCAAGGTATTTAGATAAGTCCAAACGTGTCCAAATAAGCCCTGAGAAACTGTTTATTTGGGGTGCCACCACATCCCGAGGTGGCGTGATTGTGAATGAAGGCACAATTATCTTCACTCACTGTGATGGCCTCATGTATGGTACTATGGTGTCAGGATGGTGTGATTTGTGAATGAACACAACACTCCACTTCATTCACAAACTACAAGTGAATGAACACAACACTACACTTCATTCACAAATTACACCATCCTGACGTCCAATTGCCTCATGGATCATTTGCACATATTACTCCTAGAGCGAGTGGAGAACACAACGAATTCAACATCTACACGTGAATTTTTTTTCTTATATATCTTTGTCTTAATTATTTTATACTTCTCAACATCCCTAAACAAAATCTTGGAATAAATACGTGGCGACAAAATTTGGGTGTTATAGCCCTCTAAAAATTTCTGAAGAGATTTAACTTTTCCCTTTCGTGATAATTCTTTTCGAATGCTACAAAATGTTATGTAGTGGTGCAGTTTGGTCTTAGCTTTTTCTTTGTTACGACAAGGATTTTTGTTTTTGCTAGATTTGGTTTATATTGCCTAGTAGTAAATATATATAGGCTTTTTTATTGCATCAGTTGTAAAATTGGGTCTGTTAGGCCTTGTTCTACTCAAATATTGCACATACTCTACAGCTATATATAAGCACCTTTGAAATGCTGAGCTGGCGGATCTTGATATTAATGAGATTACCATATTGCTATAACTATAACTGAGCATGTCTCCCTCCACGAATAATGTTGTTTCTTTCTAAAACAAATCCAAGAAAATATGATGACTAATGCCAAATCTATGAGTTGAAGTGGGTGGAACCAAACTAACTAAGGGTATGTTCGGTTAGCAGGGAATCACTCTTTGGAAAAAATACAGCTGGAACAACTAGCTTAATTTGTACTAATCAAGTAAACCTAGAATTGCTCCTGGCCTAGAATCAGCCCCTAAGGGTGTCTAGTACGGATTCACGTCCTTGTTGAAATGTTTCTAATCTAAGTTCTGTGATGATACGTTTCTACGATGAATTAGAATTACTCTGTGAGACCGTTTCTGGTAAGCAAAATTTTGATTAAAAATATGTTTTTTAATAAAAACTTATATAAGTGAAACTATGCTTCAAGCTAGACTTCTATCAAATAAGTGATTTATTTTAACTTGTTGTACTTAAAAAATATACATAAAAAATTACAGTTGTTGGGTGCAGAGGAGAGGGATGAATAACAGAGTCGAAGCTAGGTTATCACTGGTTCGAGCTCCTAGCCAGCGACGGAGAATCGTTTTGAGCTAGAATCGCTGCCTAGGAGAGGGTGGACGTTTTCTGGTGTTGCCGCTGGGTTGTTGGCTGCTGGCGGAGCACGTTTTTCTCTCATTTCAGCCAAACACAGCAATGGACAGTAACAGTATCTCTCCTGGAGATGCTCTAATGAATCAAAATTATAGAAAAAGAGCAGGATCAGGAAAAATGAGTAAATATATATATTGCAGGAAAAATGATTCCAGATGTCTAAACCTATATAATGCAGAAGTTGTGAAAAACCATTGTCTGAAAGGAAATCGTTGATAACTTTGTCATAATCCTCCCTTAATAAAAGCAACCCCTAGGGACTCTATAAATTCTACTCTCTAATTTTTTATTTAGAGAGCCATTCAACGAATATTCTATTTGTATATTTCTCATGTCTCCAACAAACTCTCCAATCTTTGTTCTCTATTCTTTAATAGTTTATCATAAATTTTCTTATATAAGAAAAATCATGAGAAAACTACCATATATTTGATTTAGAGAGCTTCTCCGAAAATGGAGAGCGAGAAGTGTGGTTTTAAAGAGCGAAAAAGATGGAGAATGATTTAGTGAGTCTATTGGAGCTTTTTTTTTCTAAATTTCGGATAAAGAGCTATGTAGAGTCTATGGGAGATGCTATAATGCTTGTCAAACCGCATCTTTTATTTAGTGGTCCCCTCAAACTGTAACTTAATGTAAAGTTTAGGCTGGAGCAAATAATCTTTTTTTTTAGAGGAGGCTGGAGCAAATAATCTCATTCAGGCTAGAGTGATATTTGGAACAAAGCTATCCCTCGGCCCAATAAGGGTATAAGGCCGGGCGTGGGCTCAGTGGTTCGGCCCAGTTGGCTGCAAAGCAACAATACATTTTTCCCCGGAACAAAATGTTCTTTTCTTTCATATATAACCATAAATGGACTCCAAGTTTAGTTGGCCGTTTGGCACACAAGATAAAGTAAGAAAAAACATCTTTTTTGTAAATACTCCCTCCATTTTATTTACATGTCGTATTAGGTTTGTCCTAAGTCAAACATTTATAATTTTGACCATCGATTTCATGGCATAAGATTTATATTTTTACATTCATTATGAATAGTACTTTCATAACATATAGTTTATAGGTTGTAAAACTATAAGAATTTTTTTTGAAATGGATGGTCAAAGATATTAATGTTTGACTTAGGCCCAAACCTAATGTGACACGTAAAAAAGAACGGATGGAGTAGTATCAATTTCGTTAAAATAATGAACTTGCAGAGACATATGTGTTTGAACCTATGCATACTACCACAAAATTAACGCACTCATAATGATAAAACTCTCTTTTTGCATGTTTTCTCAAGGGGGCAACTATATTAATAAGTTGGCACAATACACTCCCTAATTACAATCTTTCCCTCCGCACTTAGTCAGTGTAATAAGCAATATGTACTGATTTTGTTGATTTGGCATGATAATATATAGTGATCTGATTTACATATTCATGTGTAGTACATCATTCGTCCTAAATTATAAGACGTTTTAACTTGGGAACAAAGGGAATACCTGAGAAACTAAAAAAAAATGGAGTATATGCCATGCATCATCCCGGCTGCCTAAATGATTGTTGATTGGTCCCCTGCCTCTCATTACTGTGCTAGAAGCATTTGGTGAAGCAGGCAGGGTCCATCAGTAAACGGCCTGTTGGCCTGACATTAGCTGCGGTCTGCGGATCCATCAGGATCAAGGGAATCCAATCCAACCAGAGGCTTAACAAATTTGATGCAACTCTGCATAAATTAGAGCCGGTCCCCATGCACGCACGCATAAAACCGGAGACACCACCAGATCAACGTTGGCAGTACGTGCCAGGCTGCCAGAGCCAATCTTTTAACTGTTATAGGAACCACATACTCTGTAGTTTACACCAACCCCTTTTGTTTCTCTCCTGAATCCTGATGAGAACCTCAGTAGAATACAAACATGCATCAACACGAATCTCAAGTATCATTAGCTAAAGAAAGCTGAAGATGCCCAGATGCCAATCTAAAGGAAGACTGCCAAAAAGATCGAGCTCTACAATCCGACAGGTCGGATGTATAGTTAACTAAAGCCAAGAAGATCAAGATCTACTACCTCTTCTCTATATACTGTATATATGAAACAAAGGAGCAAAAAAAGAGCAACCGCATCAAAGGGAATGGATCGGTCGGATCTTCGTACCCGACAGTAATATATGAAAGTCGCAAAGCCATGATAATTAATTGTGAGATGACCACTTGCCATGATGAGATTTGGATCCGATTCAGCAGGAGGAGGAGTTACTTATTAAGTGAGCAAATGTTTTCGTCCCCATGGAAAACTAGGCATGTTGATGTACTACATACCTTTTGATGCATTCAGAGTTCATATATATGCTGTGTGTTGTTTGGCTACACTAAGCAAATAGGATTCAGAATCCCAAGCAGTGACACCCAGGTGAGGCATTTGCGGATCCATATGAACATGTAATGGGAGCTTGTGGTTGTGAGTACATTTTTGTGTCTGACAGATGAACTAATGAAAAATGGCTGCATCGTACTAGGAGACTAGGAGTATGCATGTACGTTTTCTCATTGGACGCAATGATGTGCATAGGATCGAGCACATATGTTCCCTTTTCCCTTTTTTCGGGGGAAGCAATTAAAAGTATACAAGATGTGAAAGAGTTAAAGCGAGCGATCGATTTGAAACGATGCACGAGGGTATCAAAAGGAGAATACCAACTTGAGGTAGAGGGATAAAGAGGACAGCTCCAAGATTAGAATACTACTAGGGCGTGGTGATGCATTTGAGCCGGGGCCTCTGTCAAGATTTTAATCACTAGATTAGCGAGATGTCTAATACAGTGTGTCTTGCAGGGGACGATATACTTGCACACTGCAACTCGGCTCATATCGGATTACGTTGCTTCCTATGATATGATCTTTTTCAGTTTTGTTACCCCGAAACTCCAGCGTTCCACATATAGGGCAATGGACCATGCAACTTTTTTTTAATGAATAGACCATACTCCCTCTGCCTCAAAACAGAAGTCGTTCTCGCTTTCCGAAAAAATCAACTTTGACCAATTATATATAAAAGAATATTATCATCAGATAGATCATTGAATATACTTTTACAATAAATTTATTTGAAGATATAAATGTTGCACATATTTTCTACAAAACCTTAGTCAAAGTTAAGAAAAAATTTGACATGCACATATCCCATAACAACCTTCTTAGTGGGACCGAGGGAGTACCATCAGAATGGACCATACTCCCTCCGTCCCATTATTAGTGTCGTTCTAGACATGGGTAAGGGTACCAAGGAGGGAGCACAAAGACCTGCATACCCCTATATCCCAATCATTT